AGTCTTCCCTGCGACTCAAGTCTTTCTATATTTTGGGCTAATTGGCTCACTTATTTATCCAGCTCTTGCAGATGCGCTTCAGTTCTCTCTTGGAATTTTTTCTGGGAAACAATGAATTCTTCCTGGGAAATTACGAACTTCTCCACCATCTCCTCCAATGACGTCTTTTTTATTTGTGGTTGTGGAGGTGGTCTCAATTGATAATTTGGATTTGAATTTTATGCATAATTAAAGTTCGTGTGGTCTCACCATCCCAGATTATAAGTATTCCCATACAAATTATGGTCTTTGAGGTGGTCCCAGAAAGTTCCCTTTGGCATTGACTTGTGTGTTATCTTGAAGCATGGGGCAGCAGTCTGTCGGATGATCTGACATCATGCATATCACACAAACTCTTATTACTAGATTTCCTGCAACCAATGAATTAACCACTTCAGTTAATTTATCTAATTTATTTAAAATGGAAAATGTACTTATCTCGTGAACCCGCCAACTTGGTTTACTTGAAAATTGTTGAGAATCGGTTGCCATGGTAGAAATTAATTCTCTCGCAGGTGTTGGCATCATATTAACTAAGGCTCCTCTGCTTGAGGCATCGATCATCTTCATTTCTAAAGGTGATAATCCTTCTTAAAAAATTGTAGCAATGTTTGTTCGCTTAATCTGTGTTGCGTACATCTCACACAAAGCTTTTTGAATTTTTCCCAAAAATCGTAAAGATTTTTTTCTGGCTTCTGGAAGAATGAAATAATGTTCTTTCGTAACTCACTTGCTTTGGCCGCTGGAAAGTAACTATCAAGAAAATTTTGGCACATGTCAGCCCAAGAATTAGCTGAGTTTATATGTAAATAAAATAGTCATTACTTAGCCGAATTGGCTAAGGAAAAAGGAAATGTTCTCAATTTTATTTGCTCTTCAGAAACTCCTGATGGTTTCTTGCTAGAGCAAACCATTTGGAATTCCATCAAGTGTTTGTGCGGATTTTCATTGGGAAGACCGTAGAAAGTAGGTAAGAGATGAATAATTTGGTCTTCAATTGAAATGGAGCTTCACCTTGTGGAAAGGTTATATAAAGTGGCATCTAAGTAGAAGGAGTTGCAGCTAACTCCCATCGAGATCTGATCTTCATTTTTTATCTCGGTATATGCGTTATTTTGGATTTTATTTCAGGATTTAGATCTGAACTTAGCTCTTGAATCATTTGTGCGTAGAGTCTTCAGGCTCGTGCTTCGATCTCCGGGTCAAACTCTAATAATTATCTTGGTTATTCATGGTCATAAATCAAAACTAAGGAAAATAATCAGTAATTGCCATCAAAATAAATTTATTCTTCTCGAATAGAATAAAGGAAATTAAATATATTATAGGAGAAGAAATGGTTGATCCATAGAGACTAAGGAAGCTGATGAAATTCTTAGCTTTTGATTATGACATTTGGCGTGAATTTAAGTAAAATAAATAAAATGGGGGGTTTTATAGTTGAAGAATATAAACAAGGAAAAAAGAAGATTTAAAGGAAATAAAAGAAAGGTAGATAAAGGAAGGTGAAAACTCAATTGATTAAATCAGCCTTAGGCATTCGATCTGACTCAAATTCTTCGGATCATCGAAATAGATTTATCCTTCGGGATTCACATCAGTTACTTTGTCTACAAGGACAAATCCTTGCGACTAACTTGTATACCGAATACCCAAGTGCAACTCTTAGATCCCCAATTTAAAAATTGATCTAATCAACACTAATTGTTATAGATCAAAAACCGACTCGGATAGTTGTTTCCATACAAACCGTTTCCGATCTCAATTCTCACTTTAGCAACGGTTTGCTAGTTGTGTTCCCAGGAAGTTCATTTGCTATCAATTAGACGATCCTTCCTCTCACATGTTTAATCTTAACAACATTCCGACCATCGACTATCTTTTGTTTTAAAAAATTGTTTTGATTTGAAATAAGCGCAAAAGAAATCGAGAAATGTATCCAAAGTTACTTAAGTGCTTTTCAATTCTCACATTAGAATTCAGTCATCGTTTAGTCCTTGGCTTACAAAAAATTTAGCTAAGCATTACGAAAGTCATATTTACCATTTTAAAAACAAAACTTAAAAGAAAATAAACAAAGTAAAGAAAAAGAGAAATTTAAAAAACGAAAAGAAAGAACAAGAAAGAAATGTTTCTGAATTCGGGATATGAAAAATGACTTACACGAGGTGGGTATTTATGGCCTTCTAAAACCCTAGAAATACTAAAGATAATCCAAATTAAACTACAAAAGATAATTCTGAAAAATAATTTGAATTTAATTCTAAAAGATAAATCCTAAATCTTAAATTTGAATGTGCTTGAAATGCTTAGCCGTCCGCTCATCTTCTAGAAGCATGTTGACTGGACGTTGACTGGATGTTGACTGGGCACTTGTGGAAGCTGTTGACTCACTGCCACGTCAGCATTTCATGCCCACTGTTCCAAACTTGATTCCAGAACAAAAAGTGATGTTTTCAGGCCTTTTAAGCACATTTTCTAGCAATGATCATCATGCACAGAAAGCATGTAAAAACGCCCAAACCAACAATAAAGATGAATAAACAAGGGGCATTTAATCATTAAATGTTGCACAAAATAAACCTCAGTCAATAGACAACAATTTTTGTATATATTTTGTATCAAAATGTATAAATACTTAAATTAATAATATTTTATATATCTTTAAAAGTATATTTTATTTTTATCTTAATTTTTAAATATATTTCATTATTAATTTAAAAGTATATTTTATTCTAATATTAGTTTAAATATATTGCATGTTTATTTATATTTTAAAAATATTTTTAAATTAAGAATAAAATATTTTTAAATATATATTAATAAAATAAAAATAAAAATATTTTTAATAATAATAGTAATAAAATATTTTTAAATTAAGTTAAATAAAATATGTTTTTAAAGATGTATAAAATTATTAATTTAAGTGTTTATAAATTATGATACAAAATATATACAAAGTGTTGTGTATTTTAAATCATGAAATGGACTTGGTTAGTCATTAGGAATGTGCTTGATATCCCCATTTTGCTTGGTTTGTATTCTTACAAGTAGGGTGTTTACATTTGGGTAGCCGAAATGTCGAGTACTTTCGACTTTCAGGTCGTAAATATTCGACGCATGATTCATTTCGTAAGAGATGGATACCCATTTAATATTTATTTTATTTTATATTTTAATTATATTATTTTTTAGAAAAATCATATAGAAAAAAAAATTAAAATTTAAAGTTTATAATACATAACATAAATATAAAATTTATAAATTCAAGTTATATTATCTAAAAATAAAATTTAAAAGTATAAAAAATAAAATAAAATATTAAAATTATAACTAAATTTAAAATAATTTAAGATTAAAATAAATAATTTTAAAAATAATATAAATGTTAAGGTGAAATACTTTGGAAAACATATAGATTTAGAATGTTAGGGTAAAATAACCTTGAAATTAGAAATAAAAATTTTAATATAAAATAAAAATAGTAATAAAATAAAAAAGAGAAATTGGACCAGCTGGTACCTGGTTAAGAGTAATTTGTGACTCGGGCATGACCCAAAAACCCACCAAAAATAACATGTCAGATATCTGACTCGTAAAATCGGGCATTTACCTCTAAAATATCAGATAATCTTATATTGGGTAGATGGATCAACGAGTCGAGTATTTTTAACCACTTCTACTTACAACCAGAGAGTAACACGTGTCATCCTATGATTGGTGGAGAATAAATATATCAAATTAAAATATATTAAATTTCAAAGAAAATAAATTAAATCATTCAATTGAATGATACCACAAGTCATAAAAATAAGATTAAACTGAAAGAATATATAAAAAATAAAGATCAGATGTGTAATTATACTAAAATATTTAATTGCCACGTTAATATTTTCGTCAATTATTAATGTCTAGTAGCTTAATTGATTATAATTAAAGAGTTATATTATTTGACTGACTAACAAAATTAAAATATCGATAAAAATAAAAATACTAAATAACTAAATGGTTAATGGTTAAGTTGCCCAATATATTATAATGTAAAAAAAGCTTTGAGAAGGTTAATTTTCACACCCGACATGTGTAATAATTAAAATTTATTAATTATTACACCCTCTCTCCTATATATATATATATATATGTTCACCTTCCACCCCTCATTTTCACAACAAATTCTAAACCCTTTTTGCTTTGAATTCAATATATTCCAATGGCACCCAAAGCCGAGAAGAAGCCGGCCGAGAAGGCCCCAGCTGAGAAGAAGCCAAAAGCCGGGAAAAAGCTCCCCAAAGAAGCCGGCGACAAGAAAATGAAACGAGCCAAGAAGAGCGTTGAAACCTAAAAGGTCTACATATTCAAGGTTCTAAACTAAGTCCACCCTGATATTGGTATTTCGAGCAAAGCAATGGGTATTATGAACAGCTTCATCAACGACATCTTCGAGAAGCTGGCTCATGAAGGTTCTAGGCTCGCGCGTTACAACAAGAAACCCGCCATTACCTCCAGCGAGATTCAGACGGCCGTCAGATTGGTTCTGCCTGGGGAATTGGCCAAGCACGCTGTGTCCGAAGGACCAAGGCTGTTACTAAGTTTACCAGTTCTTAGTTTCAATTCTTCTAAATGAAAACAAGGATATTTGCCTGATATGGGTTCTGCTGTAAAAATCAGTTGCTCTCAAGGATTCCATCTTTTGTCGGTCTTATATTTTTAATACCCGCGGTTTTAATGGAAATTTAGCCATCTTTGAACTGGGCTGTTTCTTTTTCTTTTTCTTTTAATCCTTCTCATATGTAGAAGTTTATGGTTGATGGCTTGCATTTATTGTTTAATTACATAAGGATATATCTAATTCTGTTTAATAATGTTCAATACTTAAAATTGGTGTAAAAGGAACTTCCGATTCCAATGTAGCAAAACGATTCAAACTGTAATTAGACCTTTTCTAAATATACTCTATATGCACTGGAAATTTCTCATTGTTTTGATTTCTTGGTGAACATTTAATGCTGCAAAATACAGTTCACTCTTGCTCTAATCTATTTTAGCATGTACGTAATCCACAAAAACGAAGTTCTTTTCGAGTTGATGTAATGCAAATGCCAAACCTGCAGAAATCACTGCAAGCACCGCTAAAACAACCCGAAACTGCAAATCTGATGGGACGCCGGCTGATGCGGAGAATGCAACAGTTGCACCTACTAAGATCTTTTTCCATGTTTGGAACGACGTGTAAGCTTGTTTGCATGATGAACACTTGAGTGTGTGCTGCTCAAATCTATCAAGCATCTACAAATGATGGGAAATGTTCAAGACCACACTCTGTTTGTGATTGTATATACAGGTGAATAACGGGTTTTGCAATACCTGGCGTTTTGATAATACTGTTGACGGGAGAGGTTGGATGGTGGTGTTGAGCCATTCGGGTTGACTGTTTCCGTGACGCCTTAGCCATTTCCGGAATTCCAAGACGAATCGATCAGCTTGTGTCGGTGTAAATGTGAGCTTCGAATACTCCTGATTGATGTCCTTGGAACCCTCCATTGATTTTGAAAGAAATATCTTTTCTTGACCTTGGAGTACAATCATGTCTCCATCATAAACTTCGTTTGATGTCCAGTGTTCAAACCATCTCGGAACCAGCTGACACGAGAAGCCCCAAATGAGTGACTCACCAATTTATGAAGAAATGAGGCATAGAAAAACTCTAATTAGGAACCTAAATGCCGGCTAAAGAAAGCCGACAGATGAGACAAGCCTCTGGTTCCATATTTCAGTTAAGTATCCCTGTATAACTGGAACATCAAACACAATCTGACACACATGTACGAGAAGCAAAATGAACTAGTGCTCACCTGCCACCAGGCAGGCCCAGGCACAGAAAACTGGAAGAAGTTTCGGGCACTGCAAACGATTGATCGTGTCTTCCCTGGAGCCATTGGTACATTGAATGAACATATCCATATCTTCCATTTCTGTTCACCAACTATTGGAAGCTTCGTGTCTATCTCTATCCTGCAGGGTAAAATGGCGAAAAGTACTATAATTTGACAGAAGCAAAGAACTTTCAAGGATGATACTACAAGAGAAGGTCATTAGCTCACATAAGCTGCAGTCTAAGGCAACGCAACTCTATCATCATTATTGAAAAAACATTGATTTAAAGTTTCAGTTGAAAGCCAAGCTTTAGTGTATAATCTTTGATGTATTCAGCTTTACTTAAGTTTCAGTGAGCCCCTGGTATTTGCTATGAGTTATACAGCGACATCCAAATATAGAATTTCATGAAATTTTTTGGTAAAACATAAGAGAAATTACTCTAAATAAGCATTGAAGTTTCTAACTTTAAACAAGGGCAATGAACTTACTTATTCATATAATAGCACGGTGCAACAAACTTACTACTGATCTTTGGGTTATCCTCATTTGATCCACCAAATCCCCAGGGGCCGCTAGATTCCACCTTAAACGGCAAAGGCTTTGCTCTGTCTCTCCTCCCAGTAACCTGTGTTGAACAGAAAACGAAAGTTGTCCGGAATAAAATAACATTACAACCCCAATAGAGCCATCATGTTTTAAAATCACACATTGCCGATTAACTACAGAGAAACGAAAATGCATTCCAGTACCGAAAGAACTGTGTCAAAACATGCACCGGCAAATCAAATTACTGACTAGAAATTGTAAGTGCATATGCAAAATGTTAAGCCTTAAACAAGCTGGGTACCATAATGGATCTTTACTCCTATGAAGTTAGTAAAAAGTACCTTGTGATGAGCAAAATCGATGTGGGAAGGATCGGAGACGTTCTCCATGAGGGTATCATAACCATAAAACAGATCACGTTGGATATTCACAGTCGCAAATTCGGGTCTGCTAAAGTCATCAGGCAACCTAAAGAACATAACAATGATGGTTCAAGAACTATATAATCTGGTCTGGTAACAGGTAAGAAAACAAGAAGCAATGAACTTACATGGGGGGATTGGTAGCACTTGCTCTTTCCTGCCCATTCTCATCAGGCCAAACAAAAAGCAAGCCTTGAGAAACCATTGTAGGAAACCTAGTAGCACATGCTCTTGGAGACCGATTCGCACGAGCTTCGGGACCTTGAGACGCAGCCTGAGGAATCCTAGTGCAAGATCCACATCCATCAAAAGACCATCCATGATATGAACACTGCAAGTCCCCATTCTCATCTATCCTCCCTTCCTACAAAATTCAGAGAAAATTCCAATTACTAGTTGATACAAACATCCAAATTAATGACAGCCAAAGCAGCAAATTCAGAGAGATGTGAAACTTACGGACAAAGGGGCAAGCCTATGGGGGCATTTATCATCAAAAGCAACCCATTGGCTCGTTCCTTTATCAAACCAAAGCACCAAGTCACGACCCAGAAGCTGAAATGGTGTGGGTAAAGATGGGTCCAAATCTTCAATCAAAGAAACCGGGTACCAATGATCTTTCCATGAGAACTTAGACTTTGAACTCTCCTCACCAAATTCATCCCCTACCCTGAATTCATCTTGTTTCTGATCTGAAGCTCGTTCTGCTGCTGATGATGATGATGGAGAGGCTGCCACGTGTAAAGGTGTAAGCTTCGTGAATCTTCTTGAAGCAAGGTTCTTCCGTGGACATAAAAAGAGATGGGTTTTGCTTTCCGAAGATGTTATAAAAGGAGTAGCCAAATTGGCTGTAGGGATGGTAGCAAGAAGAGAGGCTGCCATTTTTTTTCTTTTTCTGATTTATTTACTTCTTTTGGAACTCCTTAAGAAACTGAAGCTGGGTTCTTGTATTAGAAAGAAAAATGAAAGATGAAGAAGAAAAAAAAAACTTGAGTTGAGTGCAAGAATTGAACTCGTCTTGGCCACCAGGAAAAACTAGAAAGGACAATGGAAAACTAATGCTTGTATTCACACTCAACGTGGCAATAATAGCTGGAATGATTTCACACGTAAGCTTTTCATTTCAGCGCGTGTGATTAATTATCTACTTGACATATTTTTTTTTTTATATAAAAATTTAATAGTAAAATAAATATTTAAATATATATATTTTTACTTTTAAACATTTATTTTAAGTTAATTTGCTATGCCCGTTGAAAAAACATTTTCCACTATTATGAATTCTTCGATTTTGTAACTTCTTTTAGACTTAGAATTTCTCAAATTAAATAAATAAAATTAAAATTATTATCCATTATTATGATTTTTTTTAATAGACGAATTTTTAAAACTAAAGTATTTGAGATTTATGATTTTTCAATAAAAATAATTTAAAAAACAAGAACGAAGAAGAATATATTGAACAAGATGATGGCTTAAACGAAAACCAAATGGACTACGAAGATGGTAAAAGGATTATGTTTTATTATATCCATCTATTTTTCTTCCATTTTCTGTTTGGTTACTAAGAAAATTGGGAAAAGAAAGAACGAAAGAGTTGATGAAATTCGGAGGAATAAAGAAAGAAGGCCACACGTCAGATACTGTAACATAAAGTGTTAAAAAAGATGATGAGGGCCTATTTGCATAAATTCAGTGCTCAATTTGCCTAATTTAACAATGATCTAAGAAGTTCTTAAACCAAAAAGAGGGCCAGAGCCACCCTCACCCTGTATAAAGATACAAGAAAGGTATGCTCTGTTGCAAGAACTGCAGGCAGCCCCAACCACAAAGCAATAAATTAACAAATCCTGGGCTTTATCAAGAAACTTAGAAGAAATCTTTTACGGCCGAATCAATTAGATGAGAACCTACTACCATGAACAAGTCTCGGCCGTAACATATCGAACACAGTCACGCCTGTCGGAAGCGTAAACTACTCGACATCATTTTAATAGATGATGCTTATATTTCATCTTAAGTTAGAAATAAGAACACGAGACAAATCGGGGGAAAAGAAAATAAAAGGTAACATAAGATCATGACAAAAATAAAAGCAAAACAAAGTATAGCCTCTGCTCTTTTCCTCTTCATGTTATGCACTTGATTTCCACAGAGAAAGCATAACAATTTTTCATATCTAAATTCTTACAAAATAAATTTTTCATGTTCAGTTGTCACACAATACTCATCATGCTGCAGGAAGCAAAGCGAATTCCTAGTTCAGCCTCCACATACGCACCCAATAGTTGGAAAGAAAGCCTAATTTCAAATGCATAGTCAATTCACGTGGTGCACGAACGAAAGGAGCATACGGTTAACTTACAGTTAACAGGAGTTAATTCAACAGAAAATAAAGATCATTTCTTCGGGTAAATTTGGTGATCAGGTCCAACATCACGTGAACCAGTATTTATGTAAGGCCCTCGAAAAGTTGCCTGCGGAGGAAGTGGTTTAGATGAATCCACAGGTTTCCTAGATGTCCTGGACGATACAAACCGTTATTGAACTTTTGAAAGTTGATAACCATATAGCTCCCAACAACACATTGTTGTTGAAAAATGAATTATACTTACGCCATATAAAACGGAAATGCTAAGCCTGCAGCGACAAAAGCTAGTAAGCCAGAAGCAACCAAGACATTTCGTGCTCGTGACATTCTGATTCTAAACCAACTTCAACAAGGAAAGACAAGAGACCTATAACATGTGAAAGAAATTGTTGACATTTCCGATATCAATACGAAATTCTACATGTTAATCCATACATTTTATAGAACAAATCGAAATGGATTTTAGACTAGTAATTAGTAGCTCAAACTACCTGTAAAACAGAAAATGAGGGACAAAAAGAGATCTAGAATTGCAAAGTTCGTTCGCGTGAGCACTTTCCCCAACCACTTACCACCAGCAGGCATGTAAAGCACAAAACTTTCCAGTCAGCAAGGAATTTATACAAACATCAAAATCGATATTCCCCGGAACTCTAGATTTCCAGTTCAGGGAGGCTAGTATATGATAAAGAGTTAAAGACAAGTGGCCTCAGCAACAACCTACATCATAATTTTCCAGAATTCACTAGTACCCTTTCATAATTGCAATTTGGGATAACCAAATTAAACCTAAAAATCAGAGCTTTCAATCACAAGGCACTGATTTTCGCCATTCAAAACCTTTAGTTCCACTTACTTCTCTATTTTTTCTAATTGTAAATTTTGAACAAAAGTAAGCTAACACCAATACAAAGAAATCAACTTAGAACTAGTCCCATCATATTCTAAATTGTGGAGCCTAGCCCGAAACTAATGTAAATTATTGTTCTCGAATGATCAAAAATTAAAATTCTCAAAATTTTCTGTTCTAAAAAATTCCCACTTTAAGAATTTTCTTCCTTAAATGAAGCTATAACAAGGAAAATAATTATTTTCTAAGGATGAAGGTAAATCAGAGATGAAAACCCCGTAGAGAGAGGTTATAGAATCTGAAATTCGTTACCTTAAATAAATGGATTGGAAAGTTAAACCACCCAGCTGAAAAGGAAAAGGAAATAGAGAATTTGATGAATGCCGAGGCTCTTTGATTTCTGAGATAATTGTGAAGAGTGAAGACTTCAGAGCAGCGTATGTCGTGGTGAAGATGGCCACATTGAACTCGTTTGGTTAGCCACATCAAATGGGCTGCACCAAAGCCCAGTGATTCTTATTCTTTTTAATATTCGATTAAATAATCACTTCTTTTATTTACCTAATATAAATATTGAATGTCAAAATATTTTTTAAAAATATGATAGAAATAAAATTGAATATTTAACATTTGATTTAATAATTGTTTCAAGCTAAGATAATGATCCAATTGATATTTTAAAATATTAAAAATTATTAAATTATTTTATATGATAAAATTGATACAATATAAATTTTAAGGATTAACTTATTTTATATCATATTATATGATCAAATTTGTCATATTACTATTTATATTAAGTTAATGATTAAACCTAATGATCAAATAAAGGATGAGTCTGCCATGCTCGACGAATACTGTTAAACACCATTAACGATGAATACCATTAATTTAATTTTAAAAATTTAAAATTTTAAAGGATCCGATTATAAATTAATTAAAAAATTTAAAAGTAAATTATTTAAAATAAAATATTAATTACATTATTTTCCATATTTTTAGCAATAAAAAATTATAAAATACCTTTAAAAATTATCTAAAATATTTAAAGGATTATAAAAAATTTAAAATAATATAATTAATATTTTATTTTAAATAATTCACTTTTAATTTTTAACTAATTTATAATTATACCTTAAATCATTTAAAATTTTATAAATTAAATTAATAAAATTCAATTGTACTCATCGCTAATAATGCTTAAACGGTACTCGTCAAACATCGTAAATTGTTCCTTAAATAAATAATATACTCTTAAAAATATGTAATTTCTTGGTAGTTTTATCGAAATCACCCTCAGATCCATTAATTACCTGTCAGACACATTCTCACTTAATATTACAGATCTAACATATTTTCTAACAAAACGCGGATCACCATCCGAACTTTCGCAGAATTCTGTCCGATCTAACTCCACGTAAGGGAAAACACGAATGGTGATCCGCGCTTAGTCAGAAAAGATGTTAGATCAGTAATATTAGGAGAGATAGTATCTGAAAGGTAATTAATGAATCTGATGGTGATATTTCGATAGAAAGGCCAAGGAATGATATGTTTTTAAGAGTAGATTATTTATTTAAGGATAAATTTATGGTGTTCAACAAGTACCGTTTGAGCATTATCAACTCTGAGTACTTTATTAATTTAATTTATTAAATTTTAAATAATTTAAGGTATAATTATAAATTAGTTAAAAATTAAAAGTAAATTATTTAAAATATGATATTAATTATATTATTTTTCAATTTTTAACTTTTTTTAATATTTTTAAATAATTTTTAAAGGTAAGTTATAATTTTTAAAGATAATTTAATAATAGTGTATGAGTAGATTCATTAGATATAAATATAAAAAAGTTAATGAATTCACCTTTTAGCTTTCATCGCACATTGTCAAGAAATATAACTAAACACTACAATATGTCTATTTAAGATAACATTCAACTCATGGAACTAATATATATTAAATTAAGATGTTAGTCTCTATAGTTTAATTTTTTTAAAGTATATTTTTTAAAATATTTTGAGGGATGATGCGAAATTTGGAAGACATGTCTCTTGAAACGTGTATTTTCACGTGATGTCATGTCAATATTTTTTTTAGAATGTGCGTTTCATGATCAACGCCTTCCGTATATGTTAGAGATTTAACGAAAACATAGATGATGATTTGCATCTTCTCTTATGTGGAGACAACTTGAACATAACCTCGCAAGAGCGCGAATGATGATCCGTATGATATTTCGGCACAAAAAAACCTCCCCATTCCTTGACATATATGCGTTAATTACTGTGAATTATAAATCATAATTAATTAGTTATTCTCAATACAATTACAATCAGCCCATTTTGAAATGTAAAACATTAAAGAAAAGAATGGCGCCCCTAGGTCCTAGCTACAAGCCATCACGCAAGGACCCTGTCTGTTTATACTCTTCCAGTTCTTCGATGTGAATAGTGAGAATGAGTTCCGATTACCGCTCCTCACCATGTCAACCCCCACTCCAAACGGCCGATTCTCCAGGGTCTTCAGCGAATCCGACGAAATCCGGATCCTCGTCTTCCTCATCAGAACCACCAAATCCATTTCTCCGCCTCCCATCGGAACCCCAACAATCAACCGCATCATCGAGCGTCTCAACCACAGGTTCACTCCTTCCCAAATCAACGACAAGCTCCGTAGGCTGAGAGACAAGTACCGCAAGCATGTCAAAAACAGGCACCTCGTTAAAACCCATCACGACCGAAGAGTGTTCAAGCTTTCCAGAAGAATCTGGGGCGAGAAAAAATCCCCGAAGAACAAGACTGAGAAGGGTGCGGAAACAGTGGAAAGTGGAAAGGGGGAGGGGGAGGGGATTTTGGAGAAATACCCTTACTTGGTGGCTGAGTTTTCGAGGGCTTTGCCTGACAATGAGGTGTGGAAGGAGAGATTGAAAGGGTTGGATGAGATGAAGTTGAGGAAGATGGATCAAGAGTGGGTGCATCTGAAGGTTGATGAAGCTAAGTTGGTGGCTAAGAAGGCTGTGTTAGTGAAGCAACATATAATGGAGATTATTGGGGAATGAGTGTAATGCCTTGGGGTTAATTAGCAGATGGTTTTTTTTAGCTGCGGTTTTGAACATACTGACTCTGTTCATCTGTGTAATTGACTTGATTGTTTTTGTTGGCTATTGGGGATTGAACTAATTGACTTCAAAATGTTACTAAGCTTTTTACCTCTTTCTCTGTGTTCGCTGGTGACTTCAAATGTCAAGAGCATGATCATCACTTGAGTCAGGAACCCTGGAAAATCCATACACTTATGTCAAGAGCATGATGATCTCTTGAGCAAGTAACCATAACTATTTAAGCAGCAGCAGCATCAAAGTAGGTGAATCAATAACACTGTCATTACGGATACAGTTGCTTGAAAAGGTACAACGCAAGATTTTAAAGGTGAGAAACGTTCTTTTTACATCTGAGATCGCTTACTAAATTCAACTACTTCAAACACACTTGATAACCCATAAACATAAACTAACCTTAAATAATTTCTTCAAATTTTGTTAAGAAACAAAAACTCAATATGATCTCTTTCTTTCATCTATGTACTATAGAGCCTAAAAGAAATTTGTAGAACAAAAAAGTTAACCCCTCTATATAATTTACAAAAAAATGTTTAATTCATAAACCAAATATATATTTCAGTCTTCCATTTGATAGATTGTATACTAGGAATGGATTGCTAAGATATGGGATTGAGGTATAATTCTTTACTTGTTGGGTTGTTGGTAGGGGTTAATGGTTGTGGGTTGTATAGAGCTGTGATAGCTTTTGTTCTTTTATTCTTTTGTTTAGTGGTTCTACTGTTATATTGTACCAATTTTTCTACATTTTTTAGTAATAAAATTTTGTAATTATCTAGAATATATATATATATATGAATATGAATCATTGGTTGATGCTTAAAAAATAGCATTGGTTCCTACTTGTACATCTAAAGTTAAAATTTATAGATAGTTTAAGTATTAATGTATAGAAAAATCATAAATACACGCATACATCATCTTACTTATTTTTTATACAGGTTTAGATTATTTTAATTTTTTGTACGATTCACATCTATTTATGATTTTATTGTTGGATATTGTTTCTAGCATTTCAACTCTTATTAAGAGTGCAACGTGTATCATCGTTGTACCTGATATTTACAGGTTCATACATCATATTTTTAATATTATGATAATCGATATTTTATATTAATTTATCCTCAAAACGAAAATTTATCTAAATTCTTCTTCATTGAACTTTATTCTTTCTCTTATTTTACTAATTATTTTTTTTAATTTGCTTACTAAATTTTACATATTGAATCATTTTACTCGTTCTGACGTTAATTTTTAATAGTGTTATGGCACGACACAAGCATCAAATGATGTCGTTTTGAAAAAACTCAAATATACATCAAAACGACGTCGTTTTGAATCCTCTTTTTTCCCCTCGATTTTTCTCTACTTTGTAAATAAGGTGATCGATTGTTGCCGCCGGCCACCACATCATTTTTCATTCCGACCATTGCCTACTGTCGTTGATGGTGACCGTTTGGTCTTAAAACTCATGAGTCGATTTGTTTTAACCCCTAAGTTCGAAACTGGTGGTAATTTCACAGGAAAATATCTCGAAATTTGTGAATCTCGACTAAAACGTTTTGACTTTCAAACTTTCAATCTCTAATTCGTGGACTTCGGAGTAAGTTTCGATAAAATGGAGATCAAATACAAACTCAAGGTGTCGAGACAAAACGTCCCTAGAAATTTGGGATCGAATAACCACCATTTACAACTATTAACGATGGCTGGTGGTGGCATCTTACCACATTCTTTTTTATTTTTATAGTTGGTTGAGCAAGATATAAGAGATAGTAAAATTCAGTAAGGAACAATAAAATTTACCTTTTATATTTTTAATTATTTTATATTAAATAATAATAATAAATAACACATCATCACAACGTTAGAGAGATAATGACAGAGTGAGAAAAATTATTTAATATGTAAAATTCAGTAAGGAAATTAAAAAAAAATTAAAAGTCTGATTACTTAAATATGAGATAGAATAAAATTTAATGAGAAACGATATAATTTATCTATTGTAAAATTCAAATTTTTAAAAGAGTAAATTTCACTTATCGTCACTAAATTTTATTCTCTTTTCTATTTCATTCCTTGTACTTTAAATCGTTTAGTTTCTTCACTAAATTTAATGTAATTAACTTTCTTTATCACTCAATCGTATCTCCACAACGGTTTCATAACGGTGTCATGGAGTGAATTTTTTTATTATATTTTAATTATCATTTTCAAAATGAGAAAAAAAAAAAAGAAAAAGGGTTAAAAAGAAGAGTAATGAGTTGTTTGTTTATTTCAGAATGATTAAGTGCTGAGTGATTCAAATGCTAAATGATTCAGAGACTCTGGATGAATTAGCTCTAAATGTGATATGCTATTTGTTTACTGACTCTGAATCATTCAGGATGTACTTCTGTGTTGAATCATTCAGCATTATTTTACTGAATCAGTCAACACTAAATCATTCAGAGGTACGAAACAAATGTACTAAACGCTGAATGATTCCATTAAGAATTAAACAAACAACCCCTAAATGTCTTTCTCCATCACCATTCAACTCTTCTCCCCCGCGGCCTCCTTCCCCATCCTCTTCTCCACCCTCTTCTTCCCTCTCCTTTCTCTTCCTATCGCTTGAAATCACTTTAGCCTTTGAGATGGCAAAAGATTTGTTCATGCAAGTAGACTTTAAGAACATAACTTTAGTGTTGTCCATGAAATCGTCAATTTCAAGTAAAAGTCTCGTAACCCAAAAGGCAAAATTGCAAAAAGTACATGCAAATTCAGTTCATATAATTCAATGTGCAATTAACTCCAAAATTTTCTTTACACACAAATAAATAATCTATAGATAATACATAGTTGAATAAAAAATTTATCTTTACACATGGAGACTTGCGTTCCGCCAACGCCGCGGCGGTGGTCTCGGAAGAAATAGTCGAAAATGGAAGCTCACAGACATCAGCAGAATCACCAAAATTGGCAGCGAAACGGGAAGCAAGAACACCATGTTAGGAAAATAAACCGAGTACAAGTAATTTCCCTATAACCAGATTAGTGAGAATGCGAAATAAAAGCGGAAAAATAATACCCGAAAATTGATAACGGAGTTCAGCCAATTGTGCTTACGTCTCCGGGCTGCTGCAGATCTTTTACTAAGAGAGAAAATTTACATGTGTTTACAAAACACTCACTACTCACAAGAAAGCTCTCTAGTATAGGAAGAAAGAAATGTTTTGGGATGATTTTGAAGCTAAATGGGTAAGGGTATTTATAGTAGAAACTTAGGGACTAATCTTTGAAAATACCCTAAAGTGCAATGACTAAAGTGAATTTACCCATTCCTATTTTCAACAAACATCTACCAAAATTTTACCAAACTTTGAAAAACATTTTTCAAAGAAACATTTACCAAACTTTGAAAAAAATATTTTCCAAAGTTGGTTGCCAAACTTTGAAACTTTTAACAATCTCCCACTTGAAGACTGATTTTAATATGTCTTCACACCTCGATCAATGCAGCAGCATGTCTGGTCTTGTTATTCTAGCATGCCAACTGAAGCTGAACACAACTTCAGTTTGTCCGTAGTCACCGTCTTTGTCAACATGTCTGCCGGATTTTGAGCTCCACCAATCTTTTCAAGTTTCAAAATCCCATCTTCCAGAAGAGACCGGATAAAATGATATCTCAATTGTATGTGCTTTGTCCTGGAATGAAAGACGGATTCTTTGCTAGATGGATAGCACTTTGACTGTCGCAATACAAGATATTGTTTTCTTGTTTCTTGCCTAACTCTTCCAAGAAACTTTGGAGCCAAACCATCTCCTTGCTGGCTTCCGTAACAGCGACATATTCTGCTTCAGTTGTGGAGAGAGCAACTATCTTCTGTAGTTGAGAAACCCAACTCACTGCAGTTCCTCCTAGAGTATAGACATACCCTGTAGTGCTCCTTCTGATGTCGACATTTCCGGCTAAGTCAGCATCTACATAGCCTGTCAGTATCATATCTCCACCTTTGAAACAAAGTGCTTTGTTTGTGGTACCCCGAAGATATCTGAGGATCCATTTGACTGCTTCCCAGTGTACCTAGCCCAGATTATTCATGTACCTGCTAACAGCTCCCACTGCATGAGCAATATCTGGTCTGGTACAAACCATGGCATACATCAGACTTCCAATTGCTGAGGCATACGGCACCTTCACCATGTGTGCACGTTCTTCCTCCGTCTTTGGTGATTGGTCTTTGGAGAGTCTGAAATGAACACCTAAAGGTGTACTTACTGGTTTAGCATCTTGCATGTTGAACCTGGAGAGTACTTTGTTGATGTACTCAGCCTGCGATAACATCAAAGTCCCCGACTTTGTGTCTCTCTTGATCCTCATCCCAAGAATCTGCTTTGCAGCGCCCAGATCCTTCATAGCAAACTGCTTCGACAATTTTTGCTTCAAGTTTATGATCTCTTGCATGTTTGAGCCTGCAACGAGCATGTCATCAACGTACAACAATAAAATAATGAAACTATTGTCGAACCTCTTGATGTAGCAACAATGATCTGCTTGGCATCTGGTAAAACCACTGCTACTCATGAAACTATCGAACTTCTTGTACCACTGTCTAGGAGCTTGTTTTAAACCATACAAGCTCTTCTTCAACCTGCATACCAGGTTTTTCTTGCCTGCCTCTATGAAGCCTTCTGGCTGCCTCATATAGATCTCTTCCTCCAAATCACCATGAAGGAAAGCTGTCTTTACATCTAACTGCTCGAGATGTAAATTCTCCGCAGCTACAATTTTCAACACTAGTCTAATTGTAGACAGTTTTACGACTGGAGAGAAAATTTCATTGTAGTCAATACCTTCTTTTTGCTGAAAACCTTTGACAACCAATCTTGCTTTGTAGCGTTTTCTCCCATCATGTTCTTCTTTGATCCTGTAAATCCACTTGTTATGGAGCGCTTTC